ATAAAGTTAGATTATTTTCATTTTTTTTAGTTAACACTCCAAGAGAAAAACCACAAGAAATAAAAACAGTAAGAATTGTCAAAAGAGAATCAGAGAGGCGACAAAGAGATAGAGATAAATGTGGTGGTAATATTGGTCTTCCATTAACAAGCGTTAGTGTTAAATGTGTACCTGTTATTGAAGAACCTGACTATAGAGTAAGAAATAAATTATTTTTATGTATTTATGAAATTGCTTTCTAACTGTTTTTTACTGTTTTCAGATTGAAGATAATTATGTTAAAAAATTATCAGCACAAGAACAATTATTTGGCATAACCCCAGAAAATATTACATATGATAATATGTATCCAAATTTTAGTGTTGAAGATCATTCCATGCTTCCAAAAGATGATGCGCCTTTATCACCAGTATACCAAAGTGAAGCAGCCAGACAAATTGTTCAAGAATTATCAAAAAAAGATCAAAATGATAATATTGAGCAAAATGAATCATTGACCAAAAGACTGGTACCAAGAGAAAAGCGTAGACATCACACTGTCACAAGTGTCAGACCATTCTCTATTACAGAACCTTACAATGTAAATTTATAAGATATAATAGCTTACATATTTTACATTATATTAAATGAGACAATAATAGGTGTTACTTATTTAAAATAATAAATTTTTAGAGAGACGGTGGTTGGAGAGCTCGAGATGATGTGGACATGGAACGAGCTCTAAGGCCTGGTGCTCCAGATGTGGTTCGATCTACAATGAATAAGACTGATCCTGCAAAATTTAGTGCAGAAACTATAGATAGTATATTAGGAACACCTGGAAAAATATGTATACCAGAACGTTATATTCCAGAATCGGCTCCAGTGTCACCAGATGAGCGTAAAAAGAGAATGCACAAAGCTGAAGCTATCAGGAAAATGTTGTCAGAATCTACTCCTATGCTTTCTACAGGTACAACCGTGTTCTTAATATTTAATGTATGTTTACTTAGTGACTGATTGCTATTTAGAAGGAGAAAATGATGAATACACGACCGTTGGTAGAAAGAAGATGATCGAAGAAAAAAAGCAAAGAGACCATTTGTTGCAATTGAATCAAATACTAGCACAACAAGTTATGGAAAAAAGCAAATCAGTTGCTTGTAAGTTAAATTTATAACCATAAAATAAGTTTTATAAATGCATGAGTTTTTATGTTTTTATGTTTTCATGTTTTTTTTTGTTTTTATCTACCCTGCTTGAGTAGTCACACGTTTTGTTGTAGGTGCAAGTCCCACAAATACTAGAGACTGATTGGTTAAATAGCATGAAGGTGTGTTTAAAATTGTTTGACTATTGTTGTTTTGTTATTTTTTTTATTTTAAATAAGCAAAAAATAGATTCTAATATTTTTTATTTGTTAACATTTATTTATAGTAAATGCAATGGCTCAAGTGGGTAAAATAAAACGGTATTCAATAGATGACGATGAACGAGAATTATCACCAGAAGAACCTCTTCCATTATACCAGCAAAGAGAAAACTTTTATTCTTAAAATATTTAGGTTGTGTACCTGAAATGTTTAGGTTGTATAATGCAAAATAATTAGACTTTGAACTGTTAAAAATATTTTTTAAATATTTTAATTTTTGTTGTATAGTTTTATAGATATTGATGTTTTAATAATGTGGATAACACATAGAAAAAAGTATTATAACTTAATAAGTTAATTAATTATTATTATTATTTGTAAATAAAAAGTTTAGGTTTATTTAATATTTCCTCAATGATTTAGGAAATAGATATTTTAATTTTTATTATTTATTTAATTTGAATATTTTTTATTAAAAAAATTATAACTATTACTATATAATATGTATAATTTTTTTATATATATAAAAAATAAACAAATTGTTACTTCAGCTGTTATAAAATAATTTATAATCAAAACATGTTCCTTATTAGTTATTCACAAATGTTTGTGCCAATATTAAAATTAAAATTAAAAACAAGTGAAAACGTGTATTCATCTTTACTTTTCATATTTTATGTACTGATAGGATAGATTTATTGTATCTTGGATAGATATTTTTATGAATAAATATAATTGCATTATATATATTTTTTTTGTTAGTCTAAATTTTTATTTTTAGTCTTAAAAACATTTTAAGGTATTTTAGTTAAGTTAAATTTTAGAATATTTTATACATGTATACTGTAGAGTAATAACACTAATAACAGTATAGAGTATAGTTGATATTCATTAAAATGAATGAATGTAGATTAACAAAAAGAAATACAAACCAATCTTTTTTTCTTTAAGCAAAATGTAGTGATAGACTATGCTGGTGAGATACATATTAGGAAAAGTCTTGGTGGACAACAGCTAATAATGGGTTGTTATTTATTATAATTTATAACAAATAATTTAGAGACATTATTGATTTGTGGCTATAAAGAAAAATAATAAATTGAATAATATTGATGTAGAAAATATTGAAATTGCAAGAGATAAAAAAAAAACTATAAACGTTTTTACTAAATTTAATTTTATATTTTGTTTTTATAAAATGTAAATTATGAGTTATTACTAATTTTTAAGCGCTATGTTCTATAAAACTTCAAAATAAGTATCCATTCATATCCTAAAGTAATTTACATATTAAATCCAAGATAAAACAAACTTGAGAACCAGTTAAATACATTTTCTAGGCCAATTTTTAATCATAGTTTTCTATCTTTTATCAAATAGAAATGGCCATTATCAGTTGACTCGACATTTCAGTCAAGTGTTGCAGCTGCCACTTTGTTATAAATGAATATGCACAGGGTTCAGAAATTTAAATACTAAACATTTGGAAATATGTATTGAAATAATTTTTTTTCTTATTTTTATTTATTACAACACTTAAAGATTCCAATTATTCCTGTTATAATTTTAGATAGGCTCAATGAGCACAAGTAAAAACTTTCCTTTAATTTTCAAAACAAGAATTCTTATTATCTTTCTTATTTTTATTTACTTTTAATAGGTACTCTAAAATATAGTCTGATCCTGTGTATTTACCAAAAACTTCCATTAAATAACAAAATCTGAGCATTTCTGTTAACAATTTTTTTTATCGAAAGTAGCTTACAAGGTTTATACTATAGAAAAACTCGAGTGTTTAAGTGGTTTTACCGTTTTAGAGGCGTAGAAATGTGAATTGACGATAAAATTAACTTTGGAGTCCTTCGACGGCCTGAACCATCGAAAATGTAGAAAACAATGTATGAAATCATCCTGGACGATCGGCGACGTGTCGACGTACCATTGAAGAATAGCGAAGAGATCTGGAGTAACTTGGAGTTCAGTACAGAGAATTTCAAGTGAAGATTTGGGGATTAGACTGGTGGCTGCAAAATTTGTTCTTCGACTGCTAATTGATCAGCAAAAATAAGGTCGCATGGAATCATGCTCTGCTTTGAAGGTAAAATACCAAAATGACCCAAAATTTTTTTTCCAAGGTCATCTTACAGGTGACAAATTATAGTGTCATGAATACGATTCTTATACCAAGCAACAATTAAGCCATTAGAAGAGTTAACATCACCTTGCCCTAAAAAAGCGTTTTAAGTGAGATTAAACATTAAAATAATGTTCATTTGTTTTTTTTTGATGTGGAGTTGTCCATTCGGAATTTATTCCACTGGATCAGACAATTAACCAAACATTTTACCTGGAAGTTTTGAAAAGAATAAAGGTTATACAACAATTTGAGGCGGAAAAGGTCTGATTTGTGACAGTCGGGTACCTAACTGGTTTTTTTATCATGACAACGATCCGCTCACACAGCGCCCTTTTCTATGCATTGGATTTTGACCACTGTGCCGCCCCATCCACTCTATACCACTTTACTTACAGCAACTTATTTTTCTTATTTTTATTCTCCAGGATGAATAGAGACACAATGGTGAACATTGATGAAGTTAGGTAAAAAACTCAAAGGGGTTATCACTTATCAGGTACCTATCACAAAAAATAAATTTCAAAAGTTTTCCGAACAGTGGAATAAACAATTTGACCAAGTATATTAATTTCATTGGAAAATACTTTGAAAAAGATTATATATTATAAAAAAAGTAAATAAATAACTTTGTACAAAAATAGTCCGGTTTCTTTTGGGTACGTATTCGTATTTCGAGTGTTTACTTTTAAAAGTGTATGGGAGGGGGTTATTGTTTTACACTTATGTTAAACATGATAAAATACTTTATTTGTTTATGATTAGGGCCCGGAATTTGATGACTTAAAAATCTTTAAAAATGCACACAAAAAAGTATTAAAGTGATTCATAAACATCAAAAAATTACCCTAAAAATACCAAAAAAAACATAACATTTTCAAAAATTCCGTTTTTTAATAATAATTCATCAAAAATCATCATTTTTAAATTTTATTTATTTGAATTTAAGCAATGCTAATATTTTTATACTATAAATATGTTTTTTTTATAAGCTACAGGGCCTAAATTATATTTAAAACAGATATAAAAAATAATGTCAGGAATATAAAATAATTATAAAAAAGAAATCTGTATTTTTAGAAAAATAAATGAAGGATTGAGCTGTACAATATGTAAGTTTTGTCAAAATAATATGAAAAAAAAAATGTAAAAAATGACTGTAAAACCAAAAAAAAAAAAAAAAAATGGTTTTATTGAATTTTGCATAACATAAGTCAAATTTCTGAAAAGACAAGCCTCGTATAAATGCATTAGAAAAAATAAAAGATGTAAATGTATCAAGTTCCAAACTCTATTTATGATGGTTTTAGTAAAAAATTTAAATTTCACTGCTAAAATAAATATTACATATTCAAATTTATACAGAACACTTCAAAACAAATTAATACAAATTATACATCTTGATAAATCCAAAATATAAATATTAAATTTAGTACAATAATAATTGGAAACTTTATGATTTATTAAATTTAATAAAATAAATATTAAATGTGCTAATAGTACTTTATAACTATTTAACCTCGAATAATTTGTTTTATTCGATTCATTTTAGTTTTGTTATTTAGAATATTGTTCACGATCTGAAATTGAAATAAATTAAATATATTATTATTGTTATAACTTATAATTAAGCTATAGTCTTGTCTTAAACAATGTTAGTATAAAAGACATGGGTATAAATAAAAGGGTATGCTAATTAAAATAAGCACAGTTTGATAATTTCAAGAAATTTCAAATCGATTTGTATTACATGTGAGTGTATGTACATAATATGTTTATAACAATTTACTAATAAATATTTTAAAGAAATATTTACTTGTTATACAAATTACCTGAGAATTATTTGAACATAATATATCATCTGAAGAACTTGTCCAAGATGTAACAGAACTTATAGTTCCCATATTGTCAAATACATTATTGTTATTATAAAAACCATTTGAATTGGATTCAGTAGCTGTATTCTTAAAAAGATCTTTATTGAACTTTTCGAGAGAATTCTCAGTAAGATCTATGCATTTATCACAATTTTCATCTACAACTGCAACAGAATTACTGAGATTTCTTGTTTCGACAAGAAAATTATCTTCAATTTGCATTTTTTTGAGCATTTCATTTCTATTAACATAAATAATTATGTTTATAAATAAATTTACTTAATTTTAAATGGCTACCATGTTACACGATTTTAAGAAAATAAAATTCTAATTTTTAAAAAAAACTATAATACTTGGTATTTTTTATAAGTATTTCTTTTAACTATTTATTTTCAAACTTATGACATTTGTCTATTAAAATATTTAGATAATTAGAAATTAACATTATATATACAATATAATTTTAATAAATTAAGAAAATAAATTTAGGGAGAAAACATATTTTGAAAAGCCAATACCTTTACCTTTAGTAACTCAACAATTTGCATCTATAAGATAATCTAAATTTACATGTATAATATTTAAATTACGAGTTAAGTAATAAGTACGTTACTTACATGAGACCGTCATTTGATTTTTGACTTATACTATTGTTTTTTGTTTGAGTAATACTATTTTCATTAATTAGTTGAGGTATAAAATTATTATTTACACAAGGATCGATACTGTTAAATTGATCTATTGCAACCTAAGGTAATAAATGAAAATTAATTTTATTTTTAAACTAAAATAAAAAATAGGTATGATAATAAAATTTACTTTAATTTTTCCACGGTATTCTTCAGTTTCACTTATGACATCATACAACCCACAAGACTTATTGAGATTATTATCAAGTGTAGATAAATCTATTAAAATAAATCCAAGTCTCATGTCTTGTTTTGGATCATGTCCTGCATATTCATTTATATACTTCTTACACCACAATCCTAATATTAGCCATTTTCTCTAAAATCAATAATAAAATTAAATTTAGGATAGTAAAACAAAATATAATATTCAAATATAGTTTTCTCTGTTTCAGGTAATTGAAAACAATATAATTATTGACAGATTATAATATAAATTTAAATAGCACTAATTTTTAATTTTAATTCAATATTTTCAATACATAGACTACATAAGCTCAGATAAGTGGAGTGTACTTTGTATAGTGATGTGGAGAATTAATAATTGAAAAGTGGCCAACTGAGTTTTTATTTGGGATGGTGGGTGAGTACTGAGTAGGTTATGTTCATAAGTAATTTAATATTAAATTACTATTTTAATATTGACTATAATAGGTAGTTAGAAATATAAAAGTAAATGCTTTTATTAGGTTTTGGATTAGTAAAATATTAGACTTAAATTTGAAAGATTTCAAGTTCACAAAGCTCTGATGAGATAGATAGAATAATAAAAGTTCAAAATAGTGATACAATTTTCTATTCACAATACATTGCAAATTAATTTATAAATTATCATGAAATAAAAATGTTTTATACTTCTATTAAGTTATTCCTAGGTATAACCACAGTCCATTCACTGTTCCATTTGGGGTTTATTTGTTGTACAACAGATGACGTTGATAAATTATTTTCTCTGTAATCTTCCATGATTACATATGTAGTAGGAGCCGAAGGTTTGGTATCACCATTTAGTTTAACTTTTGGTAAATTATATCCTTCAATAATAGTTACTTTAGCTTTAAAAATATCACTATGGTCAATAATTGATGTGTTTTGTGTAATTTTTGTATTTGTATGATTTGGTTGATTTTTAATAATAGTAATTTGATCTGTACCCATTACATTTTCTGTTTTATTTTCAATTGAAATACTGTCATCATCAATAATTATACATTCTGGGTTCAAATTATTTTCTGTCTGAGTTATGCAATCGTGTGAAATTTTAACAGGTACTGCATCTGTTTGTGTACTGCTTTCTACAGTCAAATCAATAAATCCATCATTGTGTTTTAATAATGTATATGTTTTATTAATAGTATCTTCAGAATCTGATTCAGTCAAGTCAACAATAATTTTTGAATTTTTTTGTAATGGCTTGTAAGATGAAACACGTGAGTGTTTAAGTTTTGGTTGAGGAGATGGAAATGAGTGGTATACTCTTTTGTAATGTATTTGTACGTTAACGTTATTATTAGATAATTCAGGTATTGATAAATTATTGTTTAAAATTAAATTTTTGGCAATATGTGAAGTTTTAAACTTATTTGCCATATCAATTAAATGAGATAATAGAAGTGACACCTAAAACATAATTAAATATAAATTATTTAAGATTAAAGGTAATATTAAATATATAATTTTTACCTTTTCCGGAGAATCGTCATTATTTTTATAAAGATTTAATACAATAGCTGCTTTTTTATAATTATTATAAAAATAAGTTTCTAAAGGAATTGTTGTAGGTAGTATAATTAAATGTAGAATATTAGTGTTACCATAAGTTCTGAATGTTCGACAACAGGAGATCACTAAAAACAATCAAATAATACTTAATTTATAAGTACAATTTTAACACTCATACAATTATAGTTATACCTTTTCCAATGTTATTAGTAACACATTCTGGAAATTGATATGTTACATAGTTGAATTTGGAATCACATTTTTTTTCAATATTAAATGTAAATTCATGAGTACAACGAAATATGTTATGTACATCACAATAATCTAATTTTTCCTTTGGATCTTCTAATTCATCACTACTTACTTGTATAGCAACATTAAAAGATTTTATTTGAGTTTGCACAGATTTGCTAAATTGACGAACTTCTAAGTTAGTTTGAATTTCTTTTTCTTTTGTTGCCTTAGTTGATTCTATTTTTGGAAATTCATTTAACGGTAATTTATTTTCAAAATTATTCTCAATACTTTCAGGGTATAGTCTATTATACATAAACATTTGGTCTTTTGTCTGATATAAAATGGTATCTTTATAATCTTCTACATTTTTTTTATTTAAAGTCTCAACTGGATTAGATGTTTCAATAAATTTATTTTGTTGGGTTTTATGATCTATATTGTCAATTATATTTTTTTGATTTTCAGAAAAATTATTTTCATATTTTTGGATTGTAGGTGTTTTAGAAAATTCATATGACAAAGACACGTGTCCAGTAATTTTATCATTATTCCATATAGGAACTTTAATAAATCTCGGAACATTGAAAGTAGTTGAAAATTCAGTCCAATCTAACATTTGTTTTGTTTCACCCAGAACTATAGGACAGCGTTCACTAAGAAGTCGCACATAAACTTTAATAGTGACACCTTTAACTGTACTGCCTTCTAAACGTGATGATTGAGTGACACTTTTGAATTTTACAACTAAAATGTAAACAAATATAATTTATTATAAGTGTTGAGTTATAACTGCAATTAAATTAAAATTGAAAACATTAACATTTAACTGCTTGTATAATTTTAAATTAATATATAATACCATTAAATAACTTACCATTATTGTCTACTTGTTTTGTCATGAACCTCAATAGTTTATATGGTTCTTGATCTTTAAGGCACTGTACAATGTATGTGCAATTAGTACCTAAAAATAAAATTAAATACATTTCAGTGTGTTTAATTATTTTTATGAATACTTTATGAAATGTTAACATGGACTAAGATAACTTAGTCAGTGGTAACATTTTTTTTAATCATAATTTTAAAAATACATTAATAATTTTGTCTTTATTGAGCGATTTTTTTACTTTAAAATTTTATATTTATATTTTTTTATTTATAACTCATACTCTTATTTTTCAAGTAATATAGATAGTGTATCTCATTAAAAAAGAAAATGTATACATATCTAGATAATTTAATACTTTTCTATGTAACAGAGAAACTCTAAATCGGTGATAACGTGTTTGATATAATATTAAAGGTTATACAAATACAATAATAACTAACACTTACAGTTTTGAAGGGACTTAACTGTGCGATAAACATTAATTGATAGGATTGATAAATGTAAATACATATCGTCTTTTGGCATAGGTGCTATAAAATAATAAATAAATCAAAATTAATTATTTTCAACCTTAAAAAATAATAAATGTTGTTTGCAAATTTTTGACAAAAAATTAATCCAAAAAAAGTTTGTTTAGATAGTATGCAACCCACTACCAAGGACTATTATTTCTTAGTTTATACATAATTATTAACCTTTATGTAATTGTTTAGAGAAGCTTGTTTTTAATTCACTTTTGTTGGATTTTTCACAAGATTTCTTCATATTTTTTATGCCAGGGTTTTTGACTGTCATAATTTTGGTAGAGCCCTATAAACATTTAGACATATAATATATAAATAATAAACATATAGTTTTAAACTTGGAGCAAAACATTTTTAAAATTTGAATTTATGAAGAAGTGGAAATTTTAAAGTTTAGTTAGATTAAGAAACACAAATATATACAGTAAATAAATACTAATTGAGATCACTCAATATCTTTACGTAGAGCCCTGTAATTTGAATTCTGTTTTTTAGTTGGTTGTTATGACACAAAAATAATAAACATATTTATGGCCTTTGAATTTTTTAAATTTAATTAGCTATGCGCACACGCAGTACAACTTTTTTTTTCTTAAATGAGAACCACCTATTTTAAACACACTAATTATTTTTTGCCTATTTATTCAATGAATTTTGCTAATTTAACTTATTCTTTAAGTCCAAAATCAACAGAGTTATAGCAAATTAACTAAAAAACTGCAAAATGTGTGTGATTTTTAGTTTTTTGATTGGAATTCTGAAAATAATTGTTCTAGGATTGTTTAGGCTTGACATTTTCACCCCTATTTATTGAGGTGATATTAACACATTATTATAATTTTAACTGCTATATAATTTTCATCTTAATTTGTATATAAATTATAATTTTTAGCATGAAAAACGCAAATAAGTATAATTGTTTATTTTGTTACATTTAATGGGTCTATTGGAAATAATACAGATAAATAACAAATTGAATTCTTATTTAAATTATAAGTTTATTTAATTATTTTTTAATTTAATGTATAAATTGTTCTTTCAAGTAATTTTCTTTATTATTACTTAGACAATTTTTTTAAATAGTTTTGTTATTTTTATTAATGAGAAAGATAAGTTTTGATTGGCTTTTATAAGTGTTCATTTGTAGTACGGAGTATAATTATTAATATTTTTGAATAAACTGTTGAGAAAATGACAGTTTAAGGAATTCAAAACATTGATATCTTAATCTGAAATTATAATTCTTTTTTTAAAGTCTCCTGTTGTTTTAACAGTCAACCTAATTTTAAATATATAACTATAATTATGTTAATATCATAGTTTATTACTTGAATGTTTAATGGGGACTGAGGTGGTGAATAAATACCAATTTTTTCGGCTGCACTAACTATACTTTCAGCAGAATTATTTGGCATTACTCTTAATGTATTAAAAGCCTCTTCTTCTTCATCAGGATCCATATTTTTGCCTAAACATTACCGTAATCAAAAAGTAATTATCAAATAATCAGTATTAAAATAAAAATAAAAAATATCTTACCCATTAAATAATCACTAGTTAGTTCTTCTTTGCTTTTATTAGATCTTAATGATAAAGAACTAGTGGGTTTTACTCTTACATTTTTTCTATGTTCAAATATTTCAGGATAATAAAACTCTTCGTCATTTTTAGTTTTTAATACTTCATCCTGAATTCCAAATTGTTTTAAAAATTTTATGTCATTGTCAAATGACGTGTCATTGAATGTTTGTACATTAAAACATAATTTTAAAGTACCAACTATTTCCTCATTATTTATTAGCGGTAAAGTTTTTATCAGCTGGTTATTTTGATCTATTAATAAGTTTTTCATAGTCGCATGAGCTAATGTTTTATTTTCATAATTTTTAATTGAACATCTTAATGTACACGTTAAAAGGTAGTGCAAAAATGATTTGTAGCTAGTTCGAATATCATAAGTTATCTTAGAATATTTAGATGTTCTGAAAAATATTTTAAAGTAATAAACATATTAAGGTATATTGTACAATAAAGATTTATAATAGGTAGTCAAAAATACAACATTAAGGTTGATTATATTGATTTTTAGTAAATGTAACAAATTTAAATAGTTTTATCATAAACTCAATTTGTCAAGAAAATAATTTAAAAGTTTTATTTTTAACAATAAAATATAACATTGATTTATATATATTAATTATTGCAGTTAATGATTGAAAGCTATTTTATTACAATATGAATAATTTTGAAATCTTATTTTAGCAGTAGAAGACTTGCAAATTAAAGGAGATAACAAAAAACTAACTATAAATTAGTACACATTTTGACAAGTAGTATTAGTAATAATTAAATTAAAATGAACTATTAAAATACTTAATACTATTAATGGTTTTATATATTATAACTTACAAAAGTTTTTGTTTTTCTTGACATCCAGTCCATTCGAATTGTACATAGGTACTTTTTACACTACTATTATACCATGATATATCTAATACAAACAAAGTTAATACACCGCTAATCTTTCCATTAAAAAAAGGTGGCAAATTCGGCATTATAGAAATAGTTTTTTTTAAACTATCAATCTGTAACAAAACATTAAAAATATGTAATATATATACATATATATACTTATAGTACATATTTAAATTTGTTTAGTAATATAATAAGCATAAATGAGTTTTAGTAATTTTATTTTATAATATTAACAAATGACAAATATTGTTGTATAAAGTTATATTTGTAATTGAACAGTTTAACTAGATGGAAATCATTTTAAATAGGCCATATAATGATAGGTATGTATACATTAATATAAAACATTATGAAATTAATAAATAAGAATTTAAAGTCATGATGAATTAAGTAGAATATTACTACATCAATTTCTCACTCTAAAAACTAATCACTGTTATTAATATTATAAAAAACTTGCAGTTTTTATTTGATATTTATACATTGAAAACTTCAAATATAAAACTAAAAATTGAAATATACCTAGTATAACAATTGGCACTTTAAAAAAATCTGAAATTAGTATGTATTATGTAAGAAAAAAATTCAAAAAATTGTCATTAAAACTAGCATGTAAAGCAAGTAAAATATTGATAACTTACCAGAGGTATGCATTTGTGTATTTTGGGTACCTATACAAATTTCCAGTAACTGTTTATGAAAAGTGACTTGTCTGTCACGAAGATTTTATAAAAAAATTGAATTTTTCTGTAGGAATTAAAGTAATATCTCTAGTGTAGTACAATAGTTCAAGAATAAAATGTAGCTGTGATAAATTTGTAATACATAATATGTAGAATATTCAATATTGTAATATTTCTAATAATCTTTAATGAACGATATTTAAAAATACACAACCGTGATAAGAAATGTCCGTTTATCAAAAATCATTCTTAAACTATTTTCAACCACGGTCTCGGTTCATAATGGTTACTTGTGTGATATACAATGTTATGTAATATAATTTATATTAATTAATAGGTTTATGGATATACAATTAAATAGTGGTTAACTTATCGTATTATGCTTTGATCTAATAAATAAAATATAAAATTAATGTAATAATAATAATAATAAAAACGTTATAATGCATCAATTTAATGGTTCTATACTACGATTATCAAAAATACGAATACCAACCGTGATTGATAACATTTTTTTGTAATCAGCCGGTAAAGTTGTTATCAATCCACTATCAGTAATAATAATATAAATATTAAGTATTAACCACGAGGACGACAATTATTTGTATTGCTCAATGAACGCAGTCGTTCTTGTACGCACAAGTAACGAATCAAGCCAATCTACAATATCTTTAAGTCCTTAATTATTATACAATCATGTCATTATTTATATTAAACCACGACACGAATTTCGAACACATAATTGGTGTGCTATTCAACAATTGGACCGCACTCAAAGTAAATATTATAATACATCTATCATAGATACACGGCATTTTATACAATTGTTAACTGTTATTATTTTTGTTTACGATCAAGTTGGCTGTTGAACACGGTATGGGAGGTTCATCTGAAGTAATGCAATTTAAAATTAGCGACTTAATTAAGAACATACATGAGTGTCTTCGGAAGTCTGGTTTGTATCTTTATTAGTTTATCAAGTTATTATAAAATTCAAATCTTATATTTTATTTTTACTAGATTCCGAATGTATTTTATTCACAATTTTAACACATTTTGTAACATTTTTTTTCAATTCCTAAGATTTTAATAAAGTATAATGTAAAGTTCTATGTTTAAAAATTATAATGACTAATTAATCTATCGTAATTAAGGTGATAACATGTGTTGGACAAGTATATCTGACATTATTGAAGACGTAATGGATGTTGGATTTGATGTTGTACTTGAAGATGCGTCTGCTGATGACTTAAGTAAACATATTTGTGACCTCTATTGTGATTGGAATCAGTCATTAGATGGCCGAAATAAAGTTATAGATGAACTTAAAAATTTACCTACAGTAATTCCTATACAAATTATTCCAGTTAGACCTATACGTGAAAAACAAAAGGTAATTTATGTTGCATTTGTATTCTATATTCTTATTCATTGTGGTGATTCGATAACAGTTTCAATGGAAATCACCAGTTTATTAAAATATTAGTGGGTTTATTTTTTGTGTATAGTTTTAAAATGATTATAGTTAATTATAAGAATTTAGTTATATGGATTTGTCATCTGTGGGTATCCAAACAACCAAATCTAAGTTGTAGGGTTTAGAATTTAGGTCTAGATCCTCAGCTTGTTTTTAGTATGTTAGAATTTACAAGTTAATGGTTTAATTGTATGCTTTATTACACATCACATTAATAATTGTTTTCTCATTCTAATTTTTAATTTTAATTATATTTTGTTCTGCAACAGGTAGTTACCTACCTGTATAGTGTATACAAACTTAAGGTATAGCTACCTACATATAATATATTTTCATGTATAAAACAAAATACCTTTTTTATAATTGGGACAGTTCTAGAAACTATCAAATGGATTTGAATTAGATTTTTTTCAGTTTTAATAGCACATAATAAAACAGGTTATAAACATAGTCCATGGAATATTGAGTGTTAAAATGGGAAGTTAATTGTAACGCCATCTGTCCAGTAATATAAAATTTAAAAAATGGATTAACATTTTTCTTGAAACTTTCTTAATTCTTATACAATTAAATGAATTTTCAATAAAGTATCAATAAATTTTCAGTTAATCTTAAAATGATGGTTTTAAAAATCAATAAAAAATAAACAATTTTCCAATAAATTAGAACTGAAATACATATTATACACAATGTTAGAACTTAAAACATAGTATGTTTGTTCATTTTTTTCCTTGGTTAAGTTAGGTTGTGCAGTTTGTATATTATATAATATATTATTTTTTTATATTTCTTATGTTTAATATAATAACTTGTAGAAAATATATATTTCTTTGTTTATAAACTTATTATATTGTTATTATATTTATTTTAGAAGGATGATTCATCGTCTAGTGAAGAGTCTGAAGCCTGTGAAGATGGATGGACAGTGGTGAAACACAAATAAGACTTACCAGAAATATGTTTTATTTTGTTCTTTTATGTATGAAATAATAATGATTTTTATTAGGTAATGGGCTGTTGTAATGTACTGTTATTTGTAACAAAACATTTAATTTTCATATGAGTATACTAACTATAGTGTTTATAAACTCATTTATGTTATAATTCCTATCTTTATGAATGTATATCATTAATATTTAGTAATTTTGTCTTGAATAATTATGATTGAAAATTAGATAAAAATATTTTTAAAATGTTTCATTTAGAAATTGATTAATTATGATGTTAGCTTGTTTTTTTTTTTAAATACATTTTGAACATAATTTACAGAATATCTCATAGTGAGGTTAATCAAAAATACATATACTTTTTTTTATTATTGAAATATAGTTTTTAAAAATTATTTAAAACCAACAATTAAATAAACTAAAATCTTCTATTTTTGGTTTTAATCATCTTTTATTTAATTTATTAAATATAGCATAATATTTAGTACTTATTGATTATCACGACTATCAAGAATAGTTAAAATATAATATAATATTGATTTAAATATAAAAATAAAATAAAATTTGATTTATGTGAAAAAATTGAAATTTACATGAGGTGGGATATGTTGGTTAGTATTTCGACAAAAACATCATCTGTGTGAAATACTTGATACCACATAAACTCAACCAAATAGCTATTGAGATGCTGATGAGATGTTCCTTTATGTTTTTTATTTCAACATTCAGCTGATCCCCACAACTGTTCAATATTCTGTGTGTGACTACCTGTTGTCGGATCTATAAAATTGCATATATGGTTAATTGTTAGGTGATTGAAACAAGTCGTTTCTAGTTTTTCTGTAATTTAATCACGCCAAAATCTGAATAGATGATTGTATCTACCTTAATATTATTTTTCATTTAATCTAATAATGTAAATGCAGTTCTATCTTAAACCTCGATTGAAAAACAATTAATTTTTTTATCTCTCTTGAGTATATAGTATGTCTCTCTTTGTCACAAACTCAATTATCAAAGTAAAATTCATCTAGCTTTGTTTTAACGCCTTGTAAAAAGACTTATCAGTTTCAACAATTTTTCATTTCTATTTTTTAAGCTTAACACACAATTAATGTATATAATTATACTATTCTACTGTAATATTGTAACAAATAAAAAATAAAATAAAAATGTTGTTGACATAATTTTACAGAAGTCAGTTTCTTTGTTTATAAATACTTACATAAAGCACAATCTATACACAAAGAAAATACAAATGCTACTTAGTAGCGGCTCGTGAGTAAATATTCGTGAGGGACTTAAATTTTATAGCATTACCTTCATACAACAATATGAATGAGAAAAACCCTTTTATTGTAAAATTAATATAATTTATACTTAATAATTTATTAGCTAAATAATTAATTTTTTTTTATATAGGTACTAATTAAATTCTGTGATCATTTATAATAAACGAGGAGTTGGGCAATTAAGTTTTAATTGATTTTTGTTCGTACGTTAGAGTTAATAAAAACTATATTACTTGGCATTTTTGTATTTTGAAAATAATTAAAGATATTAAAATGTCGAAAATAATAAATATCAGATATTTTAAACGTATAATAATTATTAAATAATAATAACCTAATTAATTATGATTTATGATATGTAGTAAATATTGTCATGAACGACATGAACCCAATTCCAATAGCGTTCATAATACGCGGCTTATTCTCCCCGGCCATCATTACCAAACCAAATATACCACTATGTGTTACGATTGAAACAGTCGGGCGATTGTTTAACAAAAATGGCCTCGGCGACCGTACTTGAAATGACAAAAATTATATTTCCATCAAAATAATTATTTATTGATTTTAGATTTTGTGGTTTTCAATAATAAACAAAAACAATATAATAGGTATATTTTCAATAAAAATAAAAATATTTATATTCATTTTTATTTTTAATTAATTATCATTTATAAGTAAGTACCGGGCTGTTTTTTTTTTAAGAGGAGACACAGTCTCAAAGTCTCCACTGACTAAAACCACTTCTGTTGTCAACAAACCAATTCCTAGCACGAATGTTAACCTTTATTTTGGCAGTGTTTAATGTTACACTTCCAAAAATTTAGTTTTCCGAAATACAATTTTTCTCTGTATGTGATTGGACTATTATACTTATTTTTTTCAGGAAAACACTCTTTTCTCGAAAGACAATCACGCATATTTCTCGTTTGTTGGCAAATCACAAATTTGCATTTTTATAAAAATAAAATATAGAATGTACAAGATTTATATTTATTTAAGACTTCATCATTATGTAATGAGTTTATCAGATATAAATATATATATATACATGTAATCGCCTATAAGTTATGATCTAAACAATAAATTAATTTTTATAATGTAGACTTTATCAACAAATACCTAATTAGTAATTATACAGATGTACCTAACAAAATATAATTATCATAAAAATATAAATACAAATATGTTTATACATAATACTTATTAAATTTTTATAGTCTATGTTGAATAACATTTTAATTAATATTAAAGAAT